GGTTGAAGTTCTAAATTTATTTTAATTATATTCTGAATTTTATTTGTATATATAAATTATTTAGCTTACTCTAATCAGAATCATGTAGCTGTTTAATATATATAGTGGAACATCTGACGATAGCTTAACGGACGAACTATCTATATATTGCCTAAAAATAAATAAATGGTGTAGTAACTTCGTCTAGTTAATCCGTTATTGTTGGATGATTACCATGTCTCAAAAGCACGTTAGTTCATCAAGCGAATAGACCATTTTGGAACTTGTAGGAATATTGTTTAGTTAAATACTATTGGTTAATTTCAACATGTAAGTGGTTTAGAATTAAAATTAGATTGTTAAGTTTTTTTTTTAATTTGACAAACTGTGAACATGCCTAGTATAATGTAACTAGGTAGTAACATGTGAATAAAATGTCTCAGGTCTAGTTTATGTTATACACGTTGGGCCTGGGCCCGCATTGGCAACGGACTGTCCTGTTTGCATCATTTTCAGATTTTATGAATTATATTCGAAACCCAACTATAACAACTCAAGCATGTAAATAAATTAAGACATTTTCTCTTTCATTTTGTAGAGACAAATTTAATAGAGAAAAATGTAAGCATTTTAGGACTGTCCTTTAAAAATAAATGAGATGAGCCTCGCCCAATAAAACGCACCAATTGCGGGGCCCTCAATAAATGTTTAATTGAATATTTAGAATTCGGGATGGACTGTTTAGTGAATTTCACTGCCTTCCCCAAAGATAATAACGCGTTAAACTCTTTAGGCGCGATTTAATTAATCTTACCTTCTTAAAACTCGGGTGCACATTTATGTGACCCAAATCCAAATCTCAACGGAGTCGAAATGTGTCTCCAATCACTGGTACATGGATTGTGACGTGGTCCGAGATGCATGTCCATGACGTTGCAAATTCCTTAAAGAATAAGACTGAGATGAGCCTCGCCAAATAAAAATACAAAATTGCGGGGCCCTCGGTAAATATTTGTTTTAAAATTGCTTAGATTTCGGGATGGACCGTTTGGCANCCCTAAATCTCCCAAGTGGCGACTCTGAATAAATAAATAAATCCCATTTCGATTGTCCTTTAATCGGAAAAAACTCCTTCACTCCTCGCGGGCGCCGGAAAAAGGAGGTATGACAGCTATGCTTCCGCGTTTTCTCCTTTTAGTTGTTAGGTGTTTGAACAATCTTGGGCGATGCGATAACATTCTTGCATGGTGCGTTGTTCGCCTCGTATGCTGAATATTCCCCATGGAGTAGGGAACTTGATTACCCGGTAGAGACTTGACAGGATGGCTCGCATGTCGTGTATCCATGGTCGCCCTATTATAGCATTGTAGGCTGTGTCTTGGTCCATAATGTGAAATGTTGTTTCTAGGGTGCCCCCCCCCCCCCCCCCCCCGGCTAGGACAAGTAGCATTATTTCTCGTGAAGTTCGTTCGACTGTATTATTAAAACCCGTTAGTGTTATGAACGCGGTAATATTTTACCTTCGAGCCACATATGTGCGAGGACTCGAGGATGGATAATACACGCGCCGCTTCCGTCATCTACCATGATTCTTTTCATATCGGTATCCGCAATATGTAAAGTAATAACTAAAGCATCATAGTGAGGGAAAGACAAATCATCGGTATCCAACTTATTGAAGACGATACTATCTTCGAGGTTGTCATACCGTTCGAGAGTGATCGACCGTTTGAGTTTGTGTGTAGTGGTGAATTTCACATGGTTGATTGCTGTCCCGCCACCTCCACCAATGATCATTTGTATGGTACGAGCTGGAGAAGGCAGTTTTGGAGGTCCCTGGTGTTGCCCGCGTCCGCGGGCAAAATTGGCTCGACCCCAATCACTTATCAGTTCTCTCAGGTGTCCTTGATTTAGCATCCTCACCACCTCCTGTCGCAGACCTATGTAGTCCTCGATTTTATGACCCCGTTCCTAGTGAAATTCGCAGAGGGCATTTGATTTCCGAGTACTTTGATCGGACTTCATCTTCTATGGCCATTGTACCTTTGTGTCGAGCTTCTCTAGTGCGTACACTATTTCTGAAGGAGAAACACAAATATTGTGAGCAGATAAAAGTGAAGGCATACCTCTTTCATTTGGTGGTGTGGTGATATGTCGAGGAGGGCCATCCATGTGCTGCGGGGGGTGTGCGATGGTTCCTCTGATGTAGGTTTGATGTCTCTCTCGACCGAGACGGGGACCCAGTTGGTCCCTTCGACCAACATTGTGTAGATCTTTCCTTGCTTGTGCTTGAACTAACGCCAACCATTGGATCGGGCCATTAAGATCGTCCTCGTCGGCTCTCACCTCGGCGCAATAGGCATTGTGAATTTTTTCCCAAGTGGTGGGAGGATATTTCATGAGTCTCCTTACTAGCTTTCTAGTTGCTCTTAACCCATTTCTACTCAACCCGTTCTGAAAGGCTGCTACTGCCATCCCTTCCGATACATTCACTAGGCTCATTCTCATCCTGTTAAACCGGACTAGGAAGTTCCTGAGTCCCTCGCCAGGTGTCTTCCTGACGGTGAATATGTCGTTTACCCTGGCTTCCGCCTTTTTGGTCCCTACATGGGTGGTGACAAACTTGTCTGCCATTTCTTCGAAAGTTGCTATTGACCGTGCCGACAGTTGTGAGTACCAGGTTAGGGCTCCCCCTGTCAGGGTTTTGCCAAACTTTTCAGTAGCACCGACGGTACTTGCTCTCTCGAAAGATCACTGCCTTTTACCACTGTGACGTAGTGAACGATATGATCTTCTAGGTCTGTAGTGCCATCGTATATCTTCAGGTACGGTGGCATTTTGAAGGTTTTAGGGATGGCCTGGGGGGCTACTTCCTCATTGTATGGTTGTTCGATGAATCGGCCAATGTCTCGTTTTGGTAACAACTTTGGGGTGTCTGGTATCTTATCAACCTTTTCTTGATGCTCCTTCATCTGGTTATGGAGCGCCTTATTTTCGTTTTCCATTTCCTCCACTTTCTTTAGAATAGTTGTGAATGTGTCACTACCTGCATCAATAATAGTGTGAGCGTTACCAGTTCGGGGGGCATCTTGCTCGTCGGTGTCTGTCATGATTTCTACGTGCGTAACGTCCCTGTTCTCTTTTTGGGTGGGTTTGTCAAGTATATTGTTCAGAGTGCTTGTTAGCCATTCTTCCAGTAACTTTTTCACCACAGGTGGCGCCTCCTCTGTCAATGACGTGGAGGCTTCCTTTTCACGCGAAGCAGTAACGCTTTCGCAGGAGGGAGGTGAAGCATTTCGCCTAAGCGTAGTGCTTGGCGTCACATTTTCATTGTCCTCCATGCCGTCTCCGTTGATAGTGTTCATAATTTTGGCGGTGACATCTGCTATCGCTTTCAATCTCACATCTCCTTTCCATGCCATTGTTAGTCTATGCAAAGCTAGGAAAAGATGGCTATGTATCTCTATGATCTAGATGAAACTATGATTTCAACTAAAGAAATCCCCACAGACGGCGCCAAATTGTTTGACCAAAAGATATCAAAATATTTATGATTAAAACAACTAAAGATAAAGATGAGGTCAACCTTAGTTAAACACAATAAAATCTAGATCAAGTGATGGAGAGAGTAAGCAAGATGAATGATGTAACAAATATGTTGGAATCAAATGAATGCTCACAAATGCAAAGACTTAAATGCACAATCAAGCTTGAATGGTGCAATCCGCATTAAAGGGGGAATAAATATGAGATGATTGGGGAATCTTTTCTCTTTTCAGATGAACAAGACTGCTTTTGTATTCACTTTCAGAGGATTCTTTTACAAAGTGTTCTTTTGTCTTTTTTCTCGTCTCCTCTTTTTCTTTACTCACCCTTCCTATTTATAAGGGACAATCTCCCAAAAAACTCTAGAAAGTACAACATAGAGAATATTCGAAAGGTATATTCTTGCTGTCTCCCACTAAGTTTACATTGTCGTGGATGTCATGCGTCGACTGACTGCCCTCAATCGTTGCCTTTCACCGCGGCGACCACCAGACGGTGCATCATGACAACCTCGTTCCTTGTCCTACTTGGTAATGGTCGTTTGCCAAATTTGGACCCATACAGCAAGTAACCTGATAGTGTGACTACTTATTCTACATTATATTCTCTTTCTTTAATAATCAAAAAATTCATAAAAATACTATAAAATTTGCTAATATTTATTATCAGTCTCCAATAAAAAAATTCAAAGAACTTTTTTCACAACTTAACCAAACACACAAAAATACATTTTCTAGAGAAAAAAAATCAGAAAATAACGTTTTCAGAAAATATTTTCTGTTATAGTTAAAACACATTTATATATTTCTCGGCGTACAATTTGAGCTGCACATCGGACACCCTTTACATTTTCTTTTTGTCCTCCTTTTGCTTTTTTGAAGTAAAGACCAATATATAGAATTTAATTATCAAAATTTAGAGGGGGTGATGTTGCAACTAGACAGAACATAGAGCTCTCAAGAACTTTTTTCTCAGCTAAGAACTTTCTTCACTACTTAACCAAACACACAAAATACATTTTCAAGAAAAACAATTCGAAATATATTTTCCGTTATAGTAAACATATTTTTATTTATTTATTTCTCAGCGTACAATTTGAGATGCACATCGGACACCCTTTTCATTTTCTTTTTGTCCTCCTTTTTCTATTTTGTTGTAAAAACCAATATATAGAATTTAATTATCAAAATTTAGAGGAGCTGATCTTTTATTTTATAAGGTCGGGGGTGCTGTTGCAATTAGACAGAACATAGAGCTTTCAAGAACACAACACAAAATAGTAGACGTATGTAATAAAGTCGTGTAAGCATCTCCCACTCGAGACACCATAGTTATCGCCAAAACCTTGTTACCTCAGTGAGTCACACTCTGTAAAATTGATAGTGATTAGGATGAAGGCTGTAGTGATAACAAGTCCAGGTGGACCAGAGGTGTTGCAGATACAACAAGTGGAAGACCCACAAATCAAAGAAGATGAAGTGTTGATCAAAATAGCAGCTACTGCCCTTAATAGAGCTGACACCCTTCAGCGCCAAGGTAAATACCCACCCCCTAAAGGTGACAGTGAATACCCTGGTCTTGAATGTTCTGGCACTGTTGAAGCCGTCGGCAAGGATGTTACTCGCTGGAAAATTGGTGACCTGGTTTGTCTGATTACAACTTTATTCTTGAAATGTGCATTTATCTAGTGAAATTGTTAGTTTTTAGAAAACGAACTCAAATGGAGCGGAATAGATGTCAAGTATTCATGTAGCAAACCCGGCCAGTTGGGGAATTGAGGCCTAATTTTGAGTTGTTTGGTATTGTTGAATTGGTAGTTTTTCTTTTGGTATATGACTTAATATAACATGAAAGTTGTCTTTAAAAGACCTACAATATTTTTGGAATCTATGTGGACTTAGATATGATGGGAACATGAAGAAAGCAAAAGCCATATGACAATATAACTCGTTGGGATTATAGACTTATAATTATTGGTGCACTTACATTTGGTTATTTGTCAGTGGTTTCTTTTATATTCTAAGTAGAGTTTTCTATGTCAGTGTAGGGATATGTAAGATTTAGAGAACAATTATTAAGTATTGGAATAAAATGAGCCCCAATAGAGCAGAATGTTAGAGGATACATATAGCTGAGTCCACCTAGTTTGAGAATTGGGATTATGGGGTAGTTATTGTTGTTGTATTATGGTGTAAAATATTTCACCATGAGGTAATATTTTCTCCATGTTTTGGTGTTTAGTTTGACATAAATTTTGTTGAATCTAAGAGCGGTGGAAGTGGGGTTTATTGTGTACCGAGGAGGGGAAATAATGTCTCTGTCTTGAAAAGACTAAGGGCTCTGGAGTAGGAGTAGAGTGCAAAATAACGTGAAAGCCTCCTAGTTTCAACGTGAAAGCATTTCCTAGAACAGTAACCTGAATGATTTTGAACAAACCCTTGTTAGCTAAGGTTGCAATTAATCCATTAGCTTGGTGAAGTAAAACTTATACAATTAAGTTCCTGTTAAGCCTTAGCAGCAGACATCACATTTTTTTTTTTGAGCTTATGTTCTTTTCTTCGTAAATTAGGAGTACATTTCCATGTATTGTTTGAAAGGAATTTTTTTCAGTTCATTGATGATTTAAAAACTTTACATAATAGGTATGTGCTCTCATTGGTGGTGGAGGTTACGCGGAGAAAGTAGCTGTACCTACTGGACAAGTTCTTCCTGTTCCATCAGGTGTTTCTTTACAAGATGCAGCTAGTTTTCCTGAGGTGGCATGTACTGTTTGGTCAACTGTTTTCATGACGAGCAAGCTTTCCTCGGGTGAAACGTTCCTGGTGATTAGACAGACCAAAGCTATTCTTTAATACATTTTGCTGTTTTGCAGTAGTTCCTTTTTCTTTTACCTTATGTAGGTTATCAGCGATTTACTCAATTGGCACAATCGTTTAGGTAGTATCTTCATAGTTGAATCTTTATACCCCTGATTCCCGTGGAATAAGATCAAGAAAGTGAAATGACTTATAGCTACATGGGTTACTTTCAGATACATGGAGGCTCTAGCGGAATTGGTACCTTTTCCATTCAAATGGCTAAGTGCCTTGGAGTCAAAATTTTTGTCACAGCAGGTTCGTGATGATAGCTTATCTCATTATGCGACTAAAATCATTCAGCTAACTATGTCAAATCTTGTTCACCAGGAAGTGAGGAAAAACTTGTTGCATGCAAAGAACTTGGTGCTGATGTTTGCATCAATTATAAGACTGAAGACTTTGTTACCCGCATCAAGGAGGAAACAGGAGGGAAAGGTAATCATTCTCATAGGCATCACTTATTGCGCTTGGAACTAGGTCTTTGTGGTATCAGTTAAAAATTGACAATCCGTTTTTCTATAGAAAATAATGATGGTCGTCATATAACTCATGGGTCAGTGGGCCACCACTCAGCTTCTTCTCATGTCTTATATCGATCAAGGATATTCTAATATCAATGTTCAACACAGGTGTTGACGTCATACTAGATAATATAGGAGGTTCATACTTCCAACAAAACCTCGACAGCCTCAATGTTGATGGTAGGCTCTTCATTATTGGTTTTATGGGAGGCACAGTGACACAAGTAAATCTTGCCGGTTTGTTAGCAAGACGCCTGACAGTGCAGGGTAAGTGCATATGACCTCTGATATATTTGGAGTTGGAACTTTCTGTGAAGTTATATTCTTAAGCTTGACGTGGTGATTTTTTTTGACCTAATACATCAAAGAAGAACGCCCTTAGTCAACTGGAAGAGAGAAATTTCAAAACGGCCTACTGCATTTCTAGTTTCTTTCTATCTTGTCTCCAACTAGCTCAATGAGTGGACTGAGAATGTATTCAAATAGTTGCACATGTCAACAGATGACTTCTAAGGTATAGTGTTCACTTGGGCTTAGAGTGTAGATTAAGTTGGTTAATTCCATGGATAGGCAATAGTTCTCAGTTGCAGCTTCAATTCTAAGAATAGGCTCGAGAAACGAAGCTATCTGATTTACCCTGATATCTCGTGTCATAGTGATGTACGATAGTTTCATCAAATGTTCAATTGTTAGTATTCTCTGACTTCTT